TAAGGGCCACTGAGAGTAAGCCGTCCATAATGGTGGTGAAGCAGCACTTGAGGCGGTGGTGTTTTCTGTAGCCCTATATAACTCTAACAACATTGGAGGAGTTGGTAGAATCGCTTATTTCCATTGGGGTCCTTTTACCTTATTATTATAATATAAAGGTTATAATATTTTCTTATTATTCTACAATGGAGATAACATCTTATTATCATACTAAAAAGACTATCTACTACACGAGGGTCATTAAGACTATCTACAATACGAGGGTCATTACTAGGAATATGGTAAAATTTACACGTATGTTAGCTAAGAAAATAGAAAATCATTCCCCTCCCTTTCTGTAGCTACATTCATCAGACACCTTTTGGCACTCTTCTTGAACTGGTTCATGCTATGACTGGCTTTGACATGTGCGGGCAGTCTGTTCCATTCCTTTATTGCTGTACAATAAAAGGTGTTTGAAGCCTGGCCACTGACTGTGGCTACTACAAAGTTGTGCTCTCTCCCCCTAGTACTATGATTGCTTTGGTTCCCAACCTTGACAAAATTGACAGCAAGATATTCTGGACATCGTTTGTGAGCAATTTTATAAACATGATTTAGCTTCAGTTGTTTTACTCTGTCTTCAACATTCAGCATATCCAACTGCTGTAATTCATCCTGGCTTACATGTTCTCTTGGTCCCAGCCCCAGGATGAATCTTACAATTTTGTTCTGGGTGATTTGCAGTCTATCTTTCAGTTTTTTTGTCAAGGCAGAGTACCAAGAAGAGCATGCGTAATCCATATGGCATTGTATAAGGGCTAGACATAGGGTCCTGCGAGCCTCAGTAGGTAGACACTGTGTTTGTCTATACAGGAACTTCAGTCTGGCATTCGCTTTCTTTACTACAAGCCGGTGTGTTGAAAGAAAGAAAGTACATCGTTTGTGTGAATAGTGGTGGTGGCTTCTGCTGCAGCCTCCACCACCACTAATACGTACGGCTTCTTTCAGTGGCCCTTATAAACCCAACACCACCACCATCACCACTCGTGACATACGGAATGACATATTTTATTAATTCTAGAGTATATATCATGTTTCTATGTTATTAATATTGTTTATACGTCATATCTGATGAATTGTGATAGATAAATAAGCCGTAGAGATGATATTAGCGTCATATTGAAGCATAATAAACTCGCCTCCCTCTCGCCTCCTACCTGCCTGCCATACACCAACAAGAGTCTTCAATAAAGGTGTGATGTTAAATGTTCATTTATCCATTTTAATAGTGCTTTATATTTATTTGTCATTGTTTTGTGTATGTAAATATATTTAATATTTTTTTTGTTAATACTTTTGGGTGTCTGAAACGGTCTAATTGGCTTTCCATTATTACTTATGGGGAAAATAGTTTCGCCATTCGTGAATTTCGCCATTCAGCAGACTCTCTGGAATGAATTAATCATGAAACTTGGGGGGTCCACTGTATATGTATACACAGTGATCCAAATTCTCTCCTATTTTTCCAAATAGTTCCTCTTTTTATATCCTTTCATCTCCATCGGGAGGTGGAAAAGAAACTTTCCTCTGCAAGCCACATGTCACAAGAGATGACTAAAATGCCAGAATAGGCTAGTAACTCCTCCTATATAAATTACTGAAAAAAACAGGAAAAACTTTATAAAGCTAGGATGTCTGAATGTGCATGGATGTAGTGCACTTGATAAGAAAGTGATGAGCGCCAATGTTATGAATGAAAAGAAGTTGGATGTCTTAGCCCTAAGCAAAGCAAAACTGAAAGGGGTAGGGGAGTTTCAGTGGGGAGAAATAAATTGGATTAAAGCAGGAGTATATGAGAGTTAGAGTTAAGGAAGGGGTAGCAATAATGTTGAAGGATTAGTAATGGAAGGAGAGGAGAGAATATAAATGTATAAGTTAAAGGCTTATGTAGATTAAAATAACGGTCAGATGCAAAATGTGGGCTATAATAAGTGTGTATGCACCCGGAAAAGAGAGGAGTGTAGAGGAGAGAAATTTTGGGAGATGTTAAGAATGTGTTTAGGAGCTTTTCAACCAAGTGAGAGAGTAATTATGGTAATGGACCTAAATGCTAAAGTGGGAGGAATGATTAGAGAGGGTGTGGTAGGTAAGTTTGGGATACCAGGTGTAAATGATAATGGGGGGCAGTGGCTGCGGCTTTGACTTAACTTGGTACAGAAAGGGGTTTGGTAATAGGTAATACACATTTTAGGGAGAAAAGGATAAGTATACAAGATATAATATAGGGTGTAATGACAGTAGTTTGTTGGACTATGTATTGGTAGATAAAAGACCAATGGACTGATTTCAGGATGTGCATGTTTACACAGGGGCCACAGATACATCAAACCATTTTTTAGTTGTAGCTACAGTGAGAGCAAAATGTAGATGGGATACAAGGAGAAGGGAATCAGCAAGTAAGAGAGAGGTGAAGGTTTATAAACTAAAGGAGGAGGAAATTAGGGTAAAATATAAACAACTATGGAAGAAAGATGGGCTAGTGAGAGTATAGTCAATGAGGATGAAGAGGTATGAGGTAGATTTAAGAATGTAGTCTTAAGAGTGCTTAGCAGAAGTTTTGTGGTTACACAAAAGTGGGTGCGAAAGGGAAGAAGGGCGATTGGTGGAATGATGGGTAAAGTGAGTAAACAGAAAAAGTTAGCACAAAGTAGCAGTGATACAAGGAGGGAGGAGTATATGGATAGAAAAGAGAAAGGTTAAGAGAGTGGTGAAGGAATGTAAAAGAAGAGCAAATACGACAGTAGGTGAGATGCTATCAAAAAATTTTGAGAATAAGAAAAAGTTTTGGAGTGAGATTAATAAGTTGAGAAAGCCTAGGGAATGAATGGATTTGACAGTTAAAAATAGGAGAAGAGAGTTATTAAATAGAGAGTTAGAGGTATTGGAAAGACAGAGAGAATATTCTGAGGAATTGTTCAATGTTGATGAAGATAGGGAAAATGTGATTTCGTGCATTGGGGAGGGAGGTATAACATCTTTTAGGAGTGAGAAAGAACCATTTGTGAATGTGTTGGAGGTGTGTGAGGCAGTGGGTAGAATGATGGGGTACAGCAGTGGAGAGTGAGAGGATCAAGACAGAACTGTTAAAAGCATGTGGGGATATATAGTTTTGGAGTGATTGATGCTTTTATTTAATAAATGTATGGAAGAGGATAAGGTGCCTTATACCTTTCAAGAGTTTCACTACTCTCAGAGCCCGGCCATAGGCCAGGCTCATCTGGTGCTTGCCTGGTCAACCAGGCTGTTGCTGCTGGAGGCCTGCTGCCCCACATATACATCACACCCTGTTTGATCTGGCACTTGTTTATTTCCTATCTCCATGCTCTTGTTTATTTCCTATCTCCATGGGAAAGTGGAACAGAATTCTTCCTCCGTAAGCCACGTGTGCCGTAAGAGGCGACTAAAATGCCGGAAGCAAGGGGCAAGTAATCCATTCATACTAAATTTAAAAAGAGAAACGTTTGTTTTTCTTTTTGGGCCACCTTGCCTCGGTGGGATATGGCCAGTTTGTTGAAAGAAGAGGTTTTTGCTGCATTTATGGATTTGGAAAAGATGTATGATATATGAACACAATGTGGCAGATGTTGCAAATGTATGGGATAGGAGGTAGGTTACTGCAAGCAGTGAAGAGCTTTTACTAGGAGAGTGAGGCTTAGGTTTGAGTATGTAGGAGAGAGGGAGATAATTTCTCATTAAAAGTACACCTTAGACAGGGGTGTGTGACATCCCCATGGTTGTTCAATATATCTATAGATGCGGTTGTAAGAGAAGTGAATACTCGGGTATTGACGAGGTGTGGGATTAAAAGATAAAGAATCTAACACAAAGTGGGAGTTGTCACAGTTGCTTTTTTGCTGATGACACTGCTTTTGGGAGATTCTGAAGAGAAGTTGCAGAGGTTGGTGGATAAATTTGGTAGGGTATGAAGAGAGGGAAATTATAAGTGAACATAGGAAAGAGTAAGGTGATGAGGATAACAAAAAATTTAGGTAATGAAAGATTGGATATCAGATTGGAGGAAGGAAGTATGAAGGAGTGAATGCATTCAGATATTTGGGAGTGAACTTGTCAGCAGATGGGTCTATGAAAGATGAAATGAATCATAGAATTGATCAGAGGAAAAAGGTGAGAGGTGCACTGAGGAGTCTGTGGAGACAAAGAATGCTCTTATATGGGTGTGAAGCATGGGTGGTGAATGCTACAACAGGGAGAAGGCTGGAGGCAGTGGAGATGTCATGTCTGAGAGCACTTTGCAGTGTAAATATAATGATGAGACTCCCTAGTTTGGAGATTAGGAGGTGCGGAGTTTTTAAAAGTATTATCCAGAGGGCTGAGGACGGGTTGTTGAGGTGGTTCAGACGTTTAGAGAGGATGACACGAAATAGAATGACTTGGAGAGCGTATAAATCTGAAGCAGAAGGAAGGTATGGTATGGGTCACCCTAGGAAAGGCTGGAGGGAGGGGATAAAGGAGATTTTTGTGTGTGAGGGGCTTGGACTTCCAGCAAGTGTGCGTGAGCATGTTAAATGGGAGCAAATCAAGACAATAATTTTTAATGTTCGACATGCTGTTGGAGTGTGAGCAAGGTAACATTTATAAAGGGATTCAGGGAAACTGGCAAGCCAAACTCGAGTCCTGGAGGTGGGAAGTATAGTGCCTTTGCTCTGATGGAAGGGTGACGACATATTGCAATTTTTAAACTGTAGTGTAGGCATGCCTCTGGCAAGGCAGTGATGAATGGAATGATGAAAGTGTTTCTTCTTTTTCAGGTAACCCTGCCTTGGTGAGAAACGGCCGATGTGTTAATAAGAAATAATAATATAAAAGAACGTAGAAAGCCATCAACTGAGGATGAATAGAAAATAGTCGAGCAACCATCAATAGGAGAAAAAACTCGAGCAGTCATCAATGGGAGAAAGAACTTAAAGTACATTTTACAACTACTGAAAATAACTAACCTGTACCAAATGAGCTACGTGCTGTGAACTTCGAACTCGTACAAATCCATCAACATTTATCACTCCATTACTAGAGTCATAGTTTAGTTTTTCCCCAAAGAAGAGAAGGGGATAAGTTGGAACCATGGAGCTGTCGTGTATGAAAACCTGCAGGAAAAATTTTATGAGCACTGTATAGTAAACTTAAATTATTGTATATCACATCAAAATATTAAATTTACCTAAACAGTTTTTTATTTTCTAAGAGAAATTGGTATCTTGTGCTTATTGTAGGGATGTGCCAAAATATTGGTATCAGTAGGTACCAACCAATTGTGAAAGTACAGTGGTACCTTGAGTTTCGAACAGCTCCCAACTCGAACAATTACGTAAGTGTATTTTTGTAAGTGGTTTTGTAAGTGTATTTTTGGGGATCTGAAATGGGCTAATCTAATTTACATTATTTCTTATGGGAACCAAGTCGTTCAGTATTGGCTCTTGAACAGCCTTCTGGAATGAATTAAGTTTGTAACTCAAGGTACCACTGTAATGGTACCAGCATAGGTAAGTATTGGTTAATTTTGGTGGCATTATTACTGGCCTTTGAATACTGAAACTGGCACAAGACTGGATATTGTCCCATCTCTAATTTAGTATTTAATATAGATTGTCAGTTTTTAGTAGATGCAGCACACACCACCTATTTTTGGATCACATTTCAGGTACAGTAGACCCTAGATTAACATGAGGGTTACATTCCTGAAAGTCTTAACTTTATTTCAATTAGCATTATTCAAAGTGAATAACATATGAGAAAAACAGGGTATGTTCCTCTTGGGTCTTAATTAGGAAAAAACTATCTTACCAGAACCTTAAATTCTGGCTGCTGTTGCTTGTTGATATGCAAGTGCATGGAGAGGTTAAGGGGGCCTTACCCATCTTCAGAAAAAGTGGCAAAAATTAAACATTTCTGCTACTTTGAGCCCCATTTCAAACTACTTTTGGTCCTGAAACCAACCAATATCATCTATATTTCAGTAATATGTCTTCCATTCAATCGAATGATACCAAGAAACAGGCAATAAAACCATTACAGGAAACAAAGTCACTATTTTAAACCAAATATATGATCAGAGTTTTGCTTTTCCTATCATGCACCAAGTGGGGCAGCAATTATTTTTATAGGATGTACACACACCAAACAGGCCCATTCTCTCATATCAAGGTCAAAATTTCACTCATAGCTTATCTAAGTAAGCCGAGCTCACGACATAGAATTAAGCAAGAGATCTTGAGCTCAAAGTCGTGGTTCTAATTGTACGTGATGGACAGCAAAAGGGTAAATATCTGTCAGTATCTCTTTAACACCCAAGGTCAATATTATGTTTAGAGTTTTATTTTGGAGGGCACTATGGTGAGTGTGGAGGATATGTCTGTAACTGGCTCTGAGAGTTGCTCTACTCTTAAAACCCAGTCTGGAGTCTGGTTGCACTGTGTATTACTTAGTCAAATAGACTGTTGCTTCCAGAAGCCAACAGGTACAAGATCAATAAAGAAAAGCTTGCCACTGTGTCACCAGATTCTTATGCCTTTTGAATCACCCACCTTGTGAAGTAATGAAAATTTTAAATTAGCATGGAGGTTGCTGTAGATACTGTACCTCTAACAAGGCTAAACTTTTTCTCCAGGGCTCACCTGGTAGCCATCAAGTAACTGAAGGAAACCATTTTTTCATGATCATTAGCCTGGAATTCATCTGGTCTATAATGTAGTGGCCATTTATTAATTACTTTTGTTGATACTACCACAAAGTTGCCTTAAACAACATCTTTCTCAAAATACAGTTACATCCACTCAGACTATAAAAATGTCTCTATTCTTTCCCTGCTACTTCCCCTTCATCTGTGCAAGTCTTCCTGGTTTCTGCTACAACTTTTTTGCTGATGATACTGTGAAGCACAGTATCATCAGCAAAAAATAACTGTGACAATTCTCATTTTGTATTTTAATTCACAAAATTTAATCCCACCCTTCTCTCCAATACACTAGCATTTACCTCTTTACAACCCCCATCTATAAAGGTGTTAAAACAATCATGGTGACATTACACATCCCTGTCTAAGACCTACTTTTACTGAAAAGTAATCTCCCTCTCTCCTACACACCCTAACCTGAGCATCACTATCCTCAAAAAAATTCTTTACAGCATTTAGTAACTTACCACCTATTCCATACACTTGCAACATCTATTGCTCCACATTGCTCCCTTCCCTATCCACCCTATCATAAGCCTTTTCTAAATCCATAAAAGTAACAAAAAATTCTCTACCTTTATCTAAATATTCTTCATTTTTATGCTTCAATGTAAACACTTGGTCTACACATCCCATACCCATCCTAAATCCTCCTTGGTCATCTGCGATCCGCTCT